CCAGCTGGACCAAGACCTTCTGGCGGAGGAGCCAGCCAGGAATGGGCCTAACCTTTCGTGAATCCAGGACGGGCTTAGCGACTACATTTCGTGCGAGAGGGAAGTGTTTGAAAGGTGACAAGAATGTGACACATTACATGGATCTCCCAGAGTAGTTATCCTTGTGTTACGGACATATGGAGAGTTTCTAGGAAGACTCTAGGACATAGGTGATAGGTTCTTAGTATAGCGGATGGTTGGTTTAGTTCTCCACTTCGAATTTGGTAAAAGCCCCTGAACGAGGCCCCGGCGGGGGCCCAAAACGCGTTTGGGCCGGCCCTTCATTCAAACTCATTTCAACTACATCTACTCGATTCTACATTTCCTACAGGTTATGAGCCCAAACGGCTTGGTATGGGCACTGCGGTGTACGCGGAATACGCGCTGGGGGAGTTCACGCTCAAGTCGTCGCGGAAGCAACGGGCTCCGACGACAGGGGGAGCGGACCATACAAGTGCGCGGTGGACACGCAGTCGCTCTTTGCGTTCGGGAAAAGGACGGCCGAGTTCTGCACAAGGAGGTGGTTTCGAGTGGTGTGAGTGGTGGATCGAAAGAGGTCGATCGAGAAGGGGAACAACAACAAGCTCAAGCAAGGCTCAAGAACGGCTACAAGGTGTCAAGGGACGAAGTGGTGGTGAACATGAGGGAGCCGGGAAACTTAGCGAACGCGGCAGCAACGGATACGCTGGCCAGTGCGCAGGTGGTAAACCCTACAAGAATGTATGCAGTGAAGAGGCTGCAGCTGACAAGCATCATGCGGAGAGCAGCAGAATGGCTGTACGCTCGTGACCAAGACGGCTACGACTCATGTCGTCGAGGGGGAGTGTTGGAAGTGCAAGATGTGCACGTACATCGACTCCAGAGTAGTATCCTATGTTACGGCATATGGAAGGTTCTAGAAGGGTCTAGGCATAGTGATAGGTCGTAGTTAGCGGATGGTTGGTTAGTTCTCACTTCGAGATTGGTAAAGCCACTGACGAGGCCCCGGCGGGGGCCGAAACGCGTCTGGCGCGCGTTCAATCCAAGTCATTCACATCTACTCGATTCTACATTTCCTACAGGTTATGAGCCCAAACGGCTTGGTATGGGCACTGCGGTGTACGCGGAATACGCGCTGGGGGAGTTCACGCTCAAGTCGTCGCGGAAGCAACGGGCTCCGACGACAGGGGGAGCGGAACATACAAGTGCGCGATGGACACGCAGTCGCTCTTTGCATTTGGGAAAAGGACGGCCGAGTTCTGCACAAGGAGGTGGTTTCGAGTGGTGTGAGTGGTGGATCGAAAGAGGTCGATCGAGAAGGAGAACAACAACAAGCTCAAGCAAGGCTTAAGGACGGCTACAAGGTGTCAAGAGACGACGTGGTGGTGAACATGAGGGAGCCGGGAAACCTAGCGATCGCGGCAGCAACGGTTACGCTGGCCAGCGCGCAGGTGGTAAACCCTACAAGAATGTATGCAGTGAAGAGGCTGCAGATGACAAGCATCATGCGGAGAGCAGCCGATGGCTGTACACTCGTGACCAAGACGGCTACGACTCATGTCGTCGAGGGGGAGTGTTGGAAGTGCAAGATGTGCACGTACATCGACTCCAGAGTAGTATCCACCGTTGTGGCTCCATGACATGGTCGAGTTTTGAATGCCTCGAGCTGTAGTCTCCATGACGAGACTGACGAAGCCACTCTGGAAATTGATAAACTCGTCCAATGTGCCTTCAAACCCGTCCTGGAACCCGCCAAGAGCGCTCGTCAACGTGTACTCTTCTGCCTTGAGCTTGGCCTGTTCGATACTTTCAACTGCAAGACGCTCGATGTCGCCTCGATAGCACCGCACGAACTCTTGTAGAATGAGCAAGCTTTTCAGTCGGCCGAGCTGCAGTGGAGAGACCTGTGTACAGCAGAAGTCGTCGTTGTCCTTGCTTGCCCTTGGTGGTGTAGCACAAATAACCGCGACTGAGACTTGTGCATCGACATCTGAAGAGATCAGCACTGTGAAGCCATTTTGCAGCTCTAGATGAGCGAAGCACTGGGCGTGTGCGAAGTGGAAGAGGCTGGCGAGCAGCATGGCGAGCTGCGGATACTGGAACGGCAGTGTGTCATCCTGGTCCCACAAGAGGAGAATGCGTCCCGATGTCGTCACGATCAAGCATGCAACAGCTGAGGAGCTGGGAATGTACTCGGTCATTCTGTTGAGCCGTATCCAAGTTTTCTAAAACACGAAGACTCGCAGCAGCAGCAGCACATTCACGCAAAAAGACAAAGCAAAGTAGGAAACTGCACCACAACAGTTCATCCGCTATTTCTGAATCAGCGGCACCTCCACAATGTTAACTGATATCATCATTACTAGGACCGAAAATCAAGAGCTACGCGGTGCTTAGACTGGGTCAGTCGGTAAAAAATAATTTGCGTTGGTTCTTCAGGATTGCTTACACATATCGTTGCTCTGTGGAGCTTCACTCCTGGTGGTTGGACTCGCAGAGCTTGTGGACGTGTCATCTAACGAGCCAAATCGGATGGGAGTCGTGTAGTCTTTCGGCGTCAAAGCTTTCATGGATCGCCCTGCTGGTTGGTGTTCACCTGCAGCGGGGGCAGGAGCTTGCATCAGCGGAAGCGAAATCATTGGCATCGACTTGAAAAAATCTCGATTAGCAGCGGCGGAAGACCTGGCCGCCTCGTCTTCAGCCTCAAACACGGCCAACTTCCCCTGAATATCTGCCGTCTCTTTGTCCAACGCTGCGCACTCCGCGAGTTTAGATTTCTTCTCCTTTTCATGCGCCAGTTTGAGCGAGTTCTTGTCTTTTCTCGCCTGAGATTTCAACTGGCGCTCGAAGTTGGCCTGCTCCGTCCGCA